GCCCCCTTTGATAGCAATCTGTGTTTGGTACCCCATATCAACAATACATGTAGACAAGCATTTTTCCACCTACATAATATTCGCAGAATTAGAAAATATCTCTCTGTTGACGCAACTAAAATCTTAGTCCATGCCTTTATCATGGGAAGAGTGGATTATTGTAACAGCCTTCTCTATGGTCTTCCAGCAAAGTCTGTAAATAAGTTACAACGTGTACAGAATGCGGCAGCCCGGCTGGTTTCCGGTGCTTCTCGTTTCAATCACATTACTCCAGTTTTATATGAGCTCCATTGGCTGCCTGTCAAGGAGAGAATAATCTTTAAGATATCTGTATTGACTTTTAAAGCAATAGATGGATTAGCGCCATCATACATTAGTGAAATGGTAACAGTTATGAGACCAAGTAGCTATCAGCTGCGCAGAAATAAGGAACTATTGATAGAGCCAGCTAATAACAGAAATACGAAGAAGACTTTAGGTGATAGAGCTTTTAGTTTTGCAGCTCCTACAGTTTTTAATGCCTTGCCGCATTTTATCAGACGAGATAGTAATTTTAATAGCTTTAAGTCTTCATTGAAAACATATCTTTTTCAAATTGCATATTGTACATAGATTTATCCGCTTATCTTAGCATATGTAAATATTATTACTATTACTATATCTTTGTTACGCGCATTTGATCATATTCTCATGTAAATTTGCGCGATATAAATATTAAATTATTATTATTATTATTATTATTATTATTATTATTATATATATATATATATATATATATATATATATATATATATATATATATATATATATATATATATATATATATATATATATATATATATATATATATATATATATATATATACATACGAGTAGGTTTGTGTATACGAAACGCAAAGAGTACTCAATATCATAAAGATAGAGCAAATGTAGAATTTCGCTTACCTCAAAATTCCGCAACAGTCTGTTTCATCAGTAAAGAATCATCAACAGTGTGTTTCATCAGTAAAGAATCATCATACCGCCTGATGATTCTTTACTGATGAAACAGACTGTTGCGGAATTTTGAGGTAAGCGAAATTATACATACATACATATATATATATATATATATATATATATATATATATATATATATATATATATATATATATATATATATATATATATATATATATATACGAATAGGTTTTGGTTTACGAAACACAAACTGCAGTGCTCAATACCATATAGATAGAGCGTAATATATATATATATATATATATATATATATATATATATATATATATATATATATATATATATATATATATACATATATATATATATATATATATTTAAGCCGGTTTTCCACTAGGCACATTTTGCGCGGGGAGCGGAATTTTTATTAGAAAAGACAAAGAGAAATTCCATTCATCGCGCAAAATTCCGCCAAAAGTGGAAAACCTGCTTTAGCTTAGACTAATCTTTACAACCATTGTGATATTACTTTCTTAACTGTGTTTATCCTAAACCACTCTGTCAACTTTCCCTATGGGAGGAAACCAGAGCATCCGGGTAAAAACCCACGACTTTCGGTAGAAGGTTGGCTGACTCTTTTCACATGAGTCCTTAGCGAGAATCGAACTCAGAAGTATAAGGCGTTTGCTCTGAATCAAGTCATAATATTGGATAAAAGTTTGGATCACGTCGTATAGTACTAACTGTGCTGTGTTTGATAAATTGGAAGATTGAATAAATTTTTTTTTTTCACCCATTCTTTAAGTATGGAGTTAAACTTCAAACACGTTGAGCTGAACATTTTGGTATTGTTCATCTTGCTAGCCGTTGCAGAATCTATTTCTGAAACAACAGGTAATTCGAAGCTTTAGGTTTTTATATAATATTTTTGTACGGTATTATAATATTTGAAATACTGATTTGAACCAATGTGATGCAACGAACATCTAAATTGTTTCACTTAATTTGGTTTCACTTTTGTATCTAGAAGAAAATAATAGAATTGAGAAACATAGTTTAATGCTTGTTTCTTCGTAAAAGGTATATAGAAGACTGCTTAACAGCGTAAACTATTCAGCTAAGCTATTTATTACTTATCCTGCGAACAGGCTCTTTGAATCTCTTTGAATTAAATTTTTATACATGCATGCATGCAGCGGCGTAGCCAGCTCGATAATTGGGGGATCCATATTCATATTATTCGTGTTCTGCATTATTAATTTCTTTAGCAATCGATTGTTTTTAAGGTCTGTGAACAGGAATATATGAATATGGACCCCCCCCCCCCAATTATCGAGCTGCGGCTACGCCGCTGATTACTTGGTTTATTGCATGAAAAACTTCGCTAATTATGGGGTGATCGTTAGAGCAAACTATCGATCACGCCATCATTAACGAACTGAATTAAGGAAGGGACTTCGAAGGACTTTCCCTTGAAACGTCAAAGTTCTTTTTTAACAGCCCGCTTGAATTTTAATCGCCTATAGGTTTCGTTGGTTATAAAAACGTGGCAAAGTAATCAATGCATATCCAGAGTATAATTGACTAAATTGTATACAACTCGGCAAATTCCACCAGGCATTTTTATCAGCACCTGATTCTTTTGTTTTAGGTCCACAAAGGGAAGTTGTTTCAATATACAATGACAAATTTTCCACCCCGCCATCCAGACCTCAATATTTTATCGAAGTTTACCGCTGTGTTAAAGTTGAATTTGGCGAGTGCCGTAGTGACCAGTATGGGTATCCCGTGGCAAACAAAATGGAAGAAATTGAGATAGTGGTTCCAGATCTTACAAATAAACATCGGGATCCTAACAATGGAAACAAGTTTTATAAATATGTAGTTTATAATCACACGTCTTGTCAATGTGGTAAATTAGAGAACAGGGACAGGACACTGTTTAAAAACAAAACTACTAATAACGAAGGTTAGTCCAGCTTACCGTGCGTAGACACCAACCCATCATAGGCGTAGCGGGCGGGGGGGCGGGGGGGGCGGCAGCCCCCCCAGTTTTTTGGGCAGTCGGGCAATATTCGATCAACAGTCGGGCAATTTCGGTTTGCAATAAAAAAAAATGGGACAAATTTTGTCAATTTTGTCTAAAATTATGTCAATTTTTTGGCAAATTTTGTGATTTTTCGAAAGTTTGTGGTATGTTCCGAAAAATTTTGGTTGTCCGAAAATTTTTTTTGACCCCTTAAATGGTACACTGACCGAAATTTTTTTGGCGACGGGGGGGGGGGGGGGGGGTCGCCAAAAAAAATTTTTCGGAAAAAATTTTTTGGTACTAGTCGGGCAGAATCCCAAAAAGTCGGGCAATTTTCTTTCCGCCCCCCTAATTTTTTCCTTCCGGTACGCCCATGCAACCCATAGAATGGACATATTTGGGTTTAACCTTTATTCGTTCTTTAGAAAATTTTTTCTGTAGTTTTATTGTTATAGTGAACCTATCATGAAATCTGTTCATATGGGATGATGCATGATACTATAATTAGCGGAACACGGGAGCTTTCCCCTCATCATTGAGTTAAACCTGCTATACTGAATGCAAGGTTAGGGTATTGTTACTTGATGGGAAACCAAAGTGGTTGAAAACCCATGTAAAACCCGTTTCCACTAGGGGAATTTGTTCGAGCGTTTCCATTGTCGGCATCGCTTTTATGCTCGCGTGGTAAGAGATGCTGACAAAGGACCAAATTCGCCTAGTGGAAAATGGGCTTTAAGTAGGTTGTGCTTGGTTCTTTCCTGTACTTTGATGGATTTTTCCGGGATGTCTGCGCCGGGTTTTCCTCTCTCACAAAAACATAACCATTTCACCTTTATACCTGTGCACCACGGCGGCAACTCGAGACGCATTTGTAATTCAGGTGGAATGTGAATTTCTCTTACAGTGTCAGAAGCATATTTCAATACGAGCTATTCGAACAATCCGGTCAATCTGCTATATTTTAACAGTCCTCAACCAAGACATAAACTCCATACAGAGCATATCTCCACTATCCCACCATTTAAATATCTGGCGTACCAACAGTGCTTGCCTGGCTACGTAGTGTTAGAGGAGGACATGTCTAATAAGAAAATTACCACGGTATTTGGTAGAGAGGTTATTGCCTCGCTTACAAATGATATTCTATGCAAAGCTTATGATGGAAGAAACGCTACTCAACAATGCTCAAAAGTCGGAAATCGATCACCTGCATCCTCTGAAGATCCTGCAGTTGGAAACTCGCTTGATCAAGGTAAGAAATCAAGGGTCTGATTTATACTAGAGACAAATGGTCCATGTGGATGAACTTAGGCAAAGAAACTGCAAACTGATAATTCATAGTCTATCAAGATATGATGGTCTGGAACCTAAACAAAAGTAATTGTGTTATGTTTTTGTCTGAATTTATGTTAGTTTGCGCATGCACGGTCACGGTGGTTGAGCTCGCTGTATTTTCGTACAATGAGGTAATCGCCAATAGAGTTAGCTGATAAAATTACGTGCAACCCCGATGAATAATATCTAATGCAGTTGAGAGGTACAGGTCAACATCTAACAAACTTAGAAAGCCTTCTATTTTGTAGCTTTGAAGTTTCCCAGACTTCCAGACCATCATATTTTGACGCTCTATGGATAATTTAACAAACAAATCGATCACCCGTCATGAAGACAAACTATCTGCGCAGTTCATCAACTCAGACGTTCTTGCCTGCATATAGTTTTAACTTGATGAATGATTCTATTGTTTGAAATTTGCTATGTTTATACACAAGTAAATTATTAGACGAACTATATTTTCTTTCGTTAATTCAAACTGATAATCTAAAATAAGCTGAACTTCCAGGATAATTTATAAATCTAATCATTAGAAGTGTACGTTTTTGAGTTGTGTGGGTATAGCCAGGGATCATTAAGAGAAGGTTATATCTGCAGGATGGCGCATTTTAGCGAGGGGGCTTAAAAGTGTGGAGTTTGTTAGCGAGAGAAGCATATTAGAGAGAGGGACTTAACCTAGAGGGGTGCATTAGAGCTCGTACTAAAGAAGATACTTATTTATTATGGCGGGCATATTAGAGTGGTGGGTATTAAGAGAATGGGCCTATTAGAGAAGGGGCGTACTAGAGAGGGGGATTGATAGGGGATATGAGGATTTACGCTACATGCAGAGAGATGTAAATGATGAATTAACAGGAATCATTATGTTTGTGTTTAGAGGCAAATTATGAGATTCTGGTTTACATTGGTTCAGGAAAAATTATCCTCGCCGTCTTTCTACTGTCGTTGGTACTATTTACTATATTAATTATGGACTTTACACTTTGCCGTCGAAAGAAAGGATTTCTTTATGCTTTGGTCAGCTGTATAAATGATGACGTGGAACATTTTTGTCAACGTTGCAGCCAAAGGAATAGAAATGAGATTACAGTGTAAACTGAAACATATGTATACATATAGATATTTATTATTAGAAAAATATGAAGAATAAATTATTAGAAAAAATTTATGAGCATAAATCATAATTAATTGAATATATAGAATTCATTCATGAGTCGCACTATGTAAGTTTATATCAGTACTATTATAAGCATAAGAACAAACCGAAATAAAAGCTAGGAAAAAGAACAAATACGACACAAAACATTTTGAGCGAACAAGCTAAAATGAATAAATGATGAGCTTATTCATGATATTTGACTTTTGACATTATTTCATGTGTTTCGATGTACTCATCTGCCTTGAAAATTTTCATAAGTATTTTTAATTAAACGTTCTTTTCGACAGCTTCCTGAGATTCCAATTCGCAAAAGTTTCAGATGTTGATGATACTACAGTATATGAATGAATCATAGATGTTTTCGTAAAGACTGATTGGAGATATTTATTGGAGCAATACTATTATTACACACTGATTTACAATATAAAGAGTTTAATGAGAAGATATTGGCATCGATAAATAAAGGCACCGCGTGTTCGTTTCTATCAGCAAAATACAGCATAAGTCGAATTACGCGTTTTTGGAGTTTGAGAATTTTATTTAAATATGACTTACAAGCATTTCCCCACACAGCAAATCCGTACAGATTAAATATGGCATTTTATTATATAAAGTATAGTGCTTTATAGAGATTCCAAGCACTGATAAAAGTGATAATCTCACATGTGAGATTATTTATGATAATCTCACATGTGAAAATTATCGCTTTTCTGTAAAAATTATCGCTTTTCAAAGACTGTCTTTTATATAATAAACAGAAATTAAAATACATGGGTGCTTGGAAATACCAGATTTATTTCTGGTGTTGAACATGATATCTCACTCGTTCGCTGCGCTCGTGACTGATATCGTGTTCAATACTCGAAATAAATCTGGTATTTCCGCGCATCCATGTATTATTCTCTATATATAATTAATGATTGGTAAATATTTCTTAATGTGCAGAAAGGAACAAAATATCGCAACTATAATTGCAATCAATCCAATTGTTTTACAAATTTTGGAAGCCACGCAATCTATATAATTTTTTCAAGATAGATTCTCATTTATCAGAACTCCAGGATATTTTATACAGTCTTGTTTTAGATCAATAAAGACTCCACATGAGAACAGGCGCTGGTCCATATTACGTTGTACAACCTCAACAGTGTCAATATTATGGGCCAAATAAAAAAATACTTGATTAGCGTCACACTCTCACAAATTTTCAAAGGCGGGAGGGCGCTGTTTTTTTTTAAATTTTTACTCGTTTTTTAATTTTTTTAATAGTATTTTTTGGGGGGATGGGGGCGGTTTTTCCACCATATCGGTGATATTTTTTGTACTGATCAGGGCGCTTATATATATAAGCGCCCTAGTACTGATGTTGCGAATTAGGCCGCCATTTTGCTATAAGAATCTTGTATACCCAAGCCCACGCGCTCCTATCGATCATTATATAGTGCGAAGGTCTGAGCATGAGAAAAATTTCGAATATTAAACTGTTTTAAAGCTGTAAAACGAAGAGATTTACACATGAAAAAAAATTTAAAAAATTCAGAGGCGGTAGAAATCGAGAGGCGGGCGGTGACGCTAACCAAGTTTTTTTTTTGTTTGGCCTAATTGCATGTTGGGTAGAATGAATGTGCTTCACGAAAGCCATATTGAGAGGAGCACAAAATATCATGTTTTTCTATAATAAATCTTTCATTCCTAATTTGTACATAGTCATAGGTAGTTTTCAAAAAGTGTATTGACAGTAAAGATATTGGTCTGTAATTATTATAGTTTTAAATATTGCTGTGATTTTGGACATTTTAAGTTTAGTGGGGTAAATTCCTTTGCTGATAGAAATGTTATTTATTTATTTATTTATTTTGCCACAATAGATATATATATATATATATACACACACACTTAAGAACTAAACAAGACGGATAACAACTAGTCAATGAATACTTCGTGGCCGTAATGAATACTTCGTGGTCGTGGAGGTAATAATGCAAGGAAAGATGAGTCAGGTGATTTCGATTTTCTAAGATAATCAGAATAATGGCATTGTATACTATATAGATGGTAGTTTACTTGCTAAATATATGTCCTACCATTACAAAATGTTCATTTAAGATATTAGGTACTAAACGAGATGATTTCCCGGTTATTTTATTATTGTTTGTGGGGTCCTTAAATGAGGTTATAGACTTGTTCTTTTTATGACGATTGAGCAATTCATTTATTCCTTGCCAAGTTTTTTTTTCATATTTGATATATTGGTGTTAAAATATTTCATGATGATATTTTTTTACTAAGTCTAAGACTAAGTTGAATTAGATTGCAAATCTTATTTCGGTATAGTATATTAGTATTAGTATACCTATCGTCATCACCAGATAACAGATTCATATAACTTGTTTTTTACTTGAAGTGATGCCCTTAATCCTTTATTAATCCATGTATGGGCATGGCTTAGAAAGTTGCTTTCAGTTTTGCGACGTGAAATTTTATTGGCCCGTGTTCATTTACGATTTTGTTAAATTTATTATAGAAAGTTGAGAATAACTTATATCATTTGCTCCATTCAATAGGATATTATTCCAGTCATCTTGGGAAAGCTCGTTGTTAAAATATTCCGCAGAAAATTTTGAATAAATTTCGTGTTTTATTAGTTTTAGCTATGTGACGTTTATGTTCGATTATATTTCAAACACAGAAGTTCGGATATAACAATGCTTCGGATACAACAACCTGTTAGCACGTCACGAGGTGTCAGTCAGGGAACTATCTCAGCTATAAATTGGGAGGGTGACCGCCTCCATACAGGCCATTTTCCCCACCCCCTTGAACTACCGTCATCTACAACATTTGAAACACCAAGCCCTAGCCCAACGCAAGGGTTACGACGCGACTATAGCCCCATCAAAAGAAGCGGAGGAGGAGCTACACTGGTGACTAGCCCACCTGAACGCTTGGAACGGACGGGCGATTCTACACTCTTCTCCCGATCAGATAATCGAAACGGACGCGTCAAGGAGGGCATGGGCGTACCGGAAGGAAAAAATTAGGGGGGCGGAAAGAAAATTGTCCGACTTTTCGTAAAATTGCCCGACTTTTCGTGATTGTGCCCGACTAGTACCAAAAAATTTTCCCGGAAAAATTATTTTGGCGACCTCCCCCCCCCTCCCCCCCCGTCGCCAAAAAAATTTCGGTCAGTGTACCATTTAAGGGGTCAAAAAAATTTTCCGGACATACAAAAATTTTTCGGAGCATCACATAAATTTTCAAAAAAACACTACATTGGCCACAAAATTGACTAAATTTTCGAAAAAATTGACAGAATTTGTCCGATTTATTTTTATAACAAACCAAAATTGCCCGACTGTTAATCGAATATTGCCCCCCCCCCCCCGCCCGGTACGCCTATGAAGGAGGGGTTAGAGCGCGGTGTGTCGAGGGGTAAAAACCGGCGGGCTGTGGTCTCAGATGGAGCAGAAGCTTCACATAAACTGTTTGGAGCTTCTAGCGGGCTCCTTTGCCGTGAAAAGTTTCACCAAGGATCGATTATGTGTCCACGTGAGGCTTCGCATGGACAACACTATCCGAATGATTATCATTTCAATAATTCAAGCGTTTTGTCTGCCTTGAGAATAAACTCAAGTCAACTGAAGCGAGTAATGAATCTTTAAGTGAAACAATAATGCGCATAAATTCAGTTAAACTTTTTCGTTGCAGTCGGAAAAAAGCCCTGAGGGAGAGATCTCTAAAGTTTATAGTAGTGACCAGTTCATTCATAACCCAAGTG